TGGGTGTTTCAGTTTAACAAAGGAACTGATATTTGTAGTCCTTCAATTATAATTTAATAAATGCCTGAGGAAACTTGAATTTTTTATTATTTATTTTGTCTGCATGTATGTAAGTGCACTTGTGTTGTGCAGTCCCTGCAGAGGCCAGGAGAGGGTGCTAGATCCCATGGAACTGGAGTTATGAAGAGTTGTTAGCCACCATGTGGGTGCTGAGAACTGAACCCAGGTCCTCTGGCAAGAGGCCAGTGTTCTTAAGTACTGAGCCATCACTCCACCTCTCAGACATGAAACTTTTAGCTTCCAGGATGAATATTCGGATATCCCATGTGGAAAAATGATTTCCCTGTCATTCTTGCCCAGTCCTCCCCTTATAGGTTCTGTACACAGATAGCTAAAAGAATGATAACTTAAGGCTCCAAATAGAGGAGAAATCTAAGCAGGAGTTAGACTGGGGATAGAATGATCCAGATGCTGTTCCCCAGACCCCTATGACTGGGGTCAGTCTCTGGGGGACTGTAGCAGTAATTTCTCCCTAGCTAAGATTCTGCCCTTGGATCATCTTTTGGGGACTTGGATTTGGTTGTATCATTGACTTTCCAGTGATAACTCTTTTTGCCTAGCAGGGTCTGTCCTCAACTTGCTCCTTTCTGGACCCCATCTCCAACCACCCAGAACTATGAGAATCAAGGTCACTACTGTGTGTTGTGCATTCATTAGATAGTAGTCAATGCACTATGCAGGCACTTTCCTAAACCCTTGACTTTCATCATTTCATTTACCCTCAAAGCAGAAGGCAGCTATTACCAGGCCACCATTTCCTGACCTCACAGCCACCCATCTCACCACCAGTCTCACTGCAGCTCTGTCTTCTTGGCCCTTGTAGCACTTGATTTATCTCTCCTCCGTGTTTGATTCACACTCAAATATAGCCCTGACATGGCACACATCTTATGGCTTTATGACAGTTGGTGTACATGTTTAACCATTCATTCTCCCACTCACCCCATATTTACTAGCACCTCCTATGAATTATCTATTACCACTATTGAACTCGGAGATCCTTTAAAGCCAACAAGTATGCCTAGTCCTTGCCTACCAAACATAGTGGAGCCTCCGGAAATGTTTGCTAAGAAAAGTGATGTCTAGTCTTGAAACAGACTTCTTTCCTTCCAACCCCAGACACTAAAGAGTAGGACACCTGTCGTTTAGCTCATAGGTTAGTGGGGACACACAAGTAGGATTCTGAGTGTTTGGCTCTGTATCACCTTAGTGGGGGAACTAAGATATAGTTTCTCCGAAGAACAATTCACATCAGCATCATTCATCAGTAGGTTTTGTGCCCTGCAGGTTTCAGGCTCTATACTGAGAGGTAGAGTCACAGACATGAATAACACACACACACACACACACACACACTCACATGTTCATGCTCACACACATGTACATGTTCATGTGCATGCTTACATGTGCACTTGTGTTGTGCAGTCCCTGCAGAGGCCAGGAGAGGGTGCCAGATCCCATGGAACTGGAGTTATGAAGAGTTGTTAGCCACCATGTGGGTGCTGAGAACTGAACCCAGGTCCTCTGGCAAGAGGCCAGTGTTCTTAAGTACTGAGCCATCACTCCACCTCTCAGACATGAAACTTTTAGCTTCCAGGATGAATATTCGGATATCCCATGTGGAAAAATGATTTCCCTGTCATTCTTGCCCAGTCCTCCCCTTATAGGTTCTGTACACAGATAGCTAAAAGAATGATAACTTAAGGCTCCAAATAGAGGAGAAATCTAAGCAGGAGTTAGACTGGGGATAGAATGATCCAGATGCTGTTCCCCAGACCCCTATGACTGGGGTCAGTCTCTGGGGGACTGTAGCAGTAATTTCTCCCTAGCTAAGATTCTGCCCTTGGATCATCTTTTGGGGACTTGGATTTGGTTGTATCATTGACTTTCCAGTGATAACTCTTTTTGCCTAGCAGGGTCTGTCCTCAACTTGCTCCTTTCTGGACCCCATCTCCAACCACCCAGAACTATGAGAATCAAGGTCACTACTGTGTGTTGTGCATTCATTAGATAGTAGTCAATGCACTATGCAGGCACTTTCCTAAACCCTTGACTTTCATCATTTCATTTACCCTCAAAGCAGAAGGCAGCTATTACCAGGCCACCATTTCCTGACCTCACAGCCACCCATCTCACCACCAGTCTCACTGCAGCTCTGTCTTCTTGGCCCTTGTAGCACTTGATTTATCTCTCCTCCGTGTTTGATTCACACTCAAATATAGCCCTGACATGGCACACATCTTATGGCTTTATGACAGTTGGTGTACATGTTTAACCATTCATTCTCCCACTCACCCCATATTTACTAGCACCTCCTATGAATTATCTATTACCACTATTGAACTCGGAGATCCTTTAAAGCCAACAAGTATGCCTAGTCCTTGCCTACCACACATAGTGGAGCCTCCGGAAATGTTTGCTAAGAAAAGTGATGTCTAGTCTTGAAACAGACTTCTTTCCTTCCAACCCCAGACACTAAAGAGTAGGACACCTGTCGTTTAGCTCATAGGTTAGTGGGGACACACAAGTAGGATTCTGAGTGTTTGGCTCTGTATCTCCTTATTGGGGGAACTAAGATATAGTTTCTCCGAAGAACAATTCACATCAGCATCATTCATCAGTAGGTTTTGTGCCCTGCAGGTTTCAGAGTCTCTATAGAGAGGTAGAGTTACAGACATGAATAACACACACACACACACACACACACACACACACACTCACATGTTCATGCTCACACACATGTACATGTTCATGTGCATGCTTACATGTGCATTCTCATACACGTGCATGCTCGTACACACATACACACACACACACACACACACACACACACACCAACATTAAGAGAACCATCAGGCTAGATGGTGAGTTAAGGTTAGAATGAGTACACTGCTGAGGAGAGTCTGAGAATGAGCCAATGTCAGACAGAGAAGGCTGACAGAAGAAGGTGGCGTTTTAGCCCTTATTGGAGTGAGATTTGGACCTGAAGAAGCACATGGGAAAGCTCCTCCCCTGAGCAAATACATGCACAAATGCATTGAGATCATATCAGTGGCAGGTGACTCAGGGAAGTCATTACTATGGACGAATCACACTATTTCCTCTTCCGTACTTCCTACTTCCTCTTCCCGCTTCCTCCTGACTGAAAAACAGTTCTCCTCTGTTATAACCTGATCTTGTCTCTTAGAGGACAGGGAAGGGAGAACCAACTGTGGAGTAAAGCCTACCAGGCAATCACATGAAGTTCTTGACTACACACACAGAGATTGTCCATGTAAAGGCCCATCTGCCTCTCTGTCATGTGCTGAAAAGATGTGGTACCTAAAGAGGCCTCACAGGCTGCCCATGAGTTTCTAGAAGATGTAGAGACTGTAGACAGCTGCCTGGCTCCATCAGCGGGAGGCCAGTGAGGCAGATTAGTCATTCACATCATTTTCTGTTGAGTCAACATCTATTTTTAGGTGTAGAACTCATAAAGGGACCCAGTGTCCCTGTCACAGAAGGAGAGAATGTGCGATGAGTGAGGGGTCTGCTCATCCTTTGTCCTCTTTGCTGCACCCATTTTCACCTCCAGAAGGTCTCAGAAGCAAGGTCCATCTTGCTGCTGAAGGTTAGTCCTTAATGTCAAAAGTCTGCAGAACATTTGTTGTGCACCCACGCTTTTCTGTATACACATACACACACCATCACACACACACACACACACACACACATATACACACCATCATACCACACACACACATACACACACACACACCATCACACACATGTACACTCTCACCCCTACAGACAGCAGGTGTTCTGAATCTGTTATACAGATTAAATAAAACTGCCAGCTGAAAAATGCTAAGGCACACAGGTCCCTTCCTGTCCACTGCTGTCAGATGTGCTCTGAAATGACTGTTTTCATCATCTATTCTGAGCCATAACCGCCCCAGAAATAGCTTTAGCAGGAAAGTGCTTTTGTTAGACTAGCTGCAAATTATATTTCAAATGTCTGATGTTGTTTTCTTTAAAAAATAAATAAGTAAATGAAAGTCTAAAATTAATGACTGCTGGGTGTGCTTTGCTTATGTGTACTGCTGAAGATCTGGCTTCTTGCAGATGGAATTTCAGATCTGTTTACACTTCTGTGTTAGCTTTTGGGGGAGAAAAAAAGCAGTTGAGAGATCTGGGAAGACAAATTTACAAAGTGGAACTTATTATAAGCGTCAGTGACGCTCTCTGCTCTCTCCCACTGCCCTTCCACTCCCTCTTGTCCACCATGCCCCGTTTCTGTTTGCTGTGGTTTTATCTGTCTTACCTCAAAGTTAAAGGCAACTAGTCCTTGTAGATGTGACAAGGTCACATATCAAGTTTCACAAGCAGATGTTCATTCAGCCCCATTTCACCAGCACTTAGCTATTCAGCAAGAGCAGACCTCGTGGGAACAGACTGGAGCAACACAAAGGATGGGGCGTAAAAGCATCTTACAGAGAACCTGATCTGTTATGCCTTGAAGAAGGGAATGAGGCAAGGAGAGAAATGTGCAGAGCAGAATTTTGTGGGTTTTTTTTTACTTATTCAAAGATTATTATGTGTTGGATACAGTAAACGCTCTATACTCCCACATCCAGGAGGTAAATCTTCAGAACTTCATGCGTGGGTAGTTCTGCATTTAACAGCTGCCACACAGTAGCTATTTTGTTCTGCACTTAGAGACCCTGATCTGTGCGTTTGTGTTCAGTTCCATCATCAAGTCTCCTTTCGTTCATCTATTGCTGTTCTCCTGGTTCTCATTACTGTTACAAGACTCACTCAAATTCTGAAATACTGGGTGATTTAAGCTGACATCGCGGGTCCTGAGGGCAGACAAGGACCTGTCGTCTTGGTTGTTGTCTCAGTCTCCACGCTAAGGATGAGTGCCTGTAATGCAGTTAGCTCCTGTTACCTTCTCCTAGGTGTCATATGCCCGTCCGAGCTCGGCCTCTATCAGGGATGCTAACCTCTACGTTAGCGGCCTTCCCAAAACCATGACCCAGAAGGAGCTGGAGCAGCTTTTCTCGCAATATGGTCGTATCATCACCTCACGAATCCTGGTTGATCAAGTCACAGGTTAAGTGTTTCTTTGTAATTTCTTTCCTTGTGTATCTGTGCCTTCTTACCCATGGGAGTAGGTCAGTGGTGGCTCCAGGTGAGGATGAATAGACAGATTTCTAACTTCAAAGACTTCTTGTACATCAACTACCCAAATTTAAAATGGGCCATCTTGAGAAGTCAGCGTTCTCTACTGTGGAAATGTCTCCAGCAGCTATTAAGGCACCTGGCAGGGTTGTAAAATAGTTGAGTAATAGGTTGTGAGTAGGACTGTATGACCTTCTGAGTCTCTCTCATCCTTCAACCAGTATACGAAAACCTACAAATATAGCTCTAGCTCCAAATCACAACATTATAGAGTTAGAACTTCAACCTACCTTATTCTGTGGGAAACAGATCTACAATGAATGGTAGTTCCCACCAGCTAGTCAGTAGCAGTGCAGGGGAATGAGCCTAGGCTCTGGTGCTGGGCTTCTTCGTCCGTAATAAAGAAACCCAACCACCGCCTCTCAGGAAGAAATGTGAGGTAGCATAGATTACACTTACAATGACAAAATGTTTTTTTTCCTACCCTCAATTTGATCCTGATTTGGACTTTACCCTCTAAGAGTAGTGTGGCACATACAAGTTTACCATTTGAACCATGTAGCTAGCTCCCACTGAAGTTGGCTCTGCCTCAAACACTGTGCAGAGAGACAGTGGGACAAAGATGCAGTACTTGCTTCCACAGGACTCCAATGTGACAAATACTTACCAGGGACTGTTCATTACTCTGTGAAAGCATACAGTATGCCTGGTGGTGATAGGTGGAGAGGCTGCATTGCAGAGGCAGTTATCAAAACATCTCTAGAGAATGGCTCAAACTTACTCGGCAAAAAAGGGAGCATAACATTCTAAATGCAGAGAACAGTATATTGAAAGGCAAAGTGTTGAAGAGGAATACAGTCTGTTGAGGAAAGTCAGGCAGGTCAGGGTGGCTGATGTAAGAACCAATAGGGGATTTGAGACTAGATTGCCGAAGGCATTAAGTGTTGTGCTGAGAGATCTGAACTTTATCTGCATGTAGGAAAGAGCCAAGGAAATATATTTTGTGGATTTTGTTTACGCAAGTGAAGAGTGAGGTACTTCAAAGTGTACAAAAGAAGCAGAGTTCGTTCCCAAAGGCTGTGGAGTGGTCAGAGGTTGCTTTCCAAACAAATGAGAGGTATGATGTGTGGAAGACACTCTGAAGACCTAAAAAGTTCTAACTGAAGAGAGATGAAGACTGAGCAGGGCAATGGTAGAAGGCTGAAGTGAAACATCCCTGTGTTCTGTGGGTAGGAGACAGCTGCCCAGAGCCATGCTGGTGGAAATACACACAGATGCCTTTTGGTGGGTGAGGGATTCAGGGAGATGGGCTCAGCCTTGGCCACAGAGGTGGGTTGAGGCCCCACACAATGTCCACAGGGCCCCACTTACCTAGTCCTAGAAATATCTACCAGCTGTTTTCTCACTCTTTACAAAGGATCTTTCTCTCTCTCCAGGAGTATCTAGAGGGGTGGGATTCATCCGCTTTGATAAGAGGATCGAGGCAGAAGAAGCCATTAAAGGGCTGAACGGCCAGAAGCCCAGCGGTGCTACAGAACCGATTACTGTGAAGTTTGCCAACAACCCCAGCCAGAAGTCCAGCCAGGCCCTGCTCTCCCAGCTGTACCAGTCCCCCAACCGGCGCTACCCTGGTCCTCTCCACCATCAGGCTCAGCGGTTCAGGTAGGCGCAACCCCAGAGGAAGAAACCTGCAGTCCACTACACGTACACCAGTCAGAGTGGGGCATGGGCCCACAGCTCCGAGATGCAGCAAGACTAATAGCCTCTGCCCCTAGCAATTGCTGTGTGAAACTACCCCGATGCCTCAGATCCCACCCAGATAAATCAGATAACCGGACTAGATGCTCCTCCTAACTTCCTTTTAGCTTATTACTGTGACTATATGATCAAACTTGAGGTTCTTTAGTAGAAACGGAATTTCTGTATTTAGACAAACAGGGGATCAGCTTCACTGAGCTACAGAAAAAGTAGCCACATTGGGCTTAGACCTAAGGCAGAACCGTGACTTCTAATAAGGTCAAAGAGTAGACTCTGAAGGCAGATCCGTGGTAGAATGCTTGTCCTGGCCTCCATCCCCAGGTAACTCTTGGATTCCAGGGGAAGAGAGACTCTCTTTAATGTTAATTTTATACTCTAAGACAGCGTACTGTGGGAAGATGAAAAGGAAGATTCACCCACACCTTACTAGTGCTTTCTTTGGGTACCCAACACCCAATAAATCCCCTGGTGCAGTAGGCATTTCCCATGGGACATTTCTAAATGGCAGGTTTCTCCCAGAACAGCTGTTGGACTTAAACTAGCCGGTGTTGTGCATGAGATAAGCACAGTCTTGACCTCCCTTTAGTAAATTCTAAACAATTATTTTATTCCACCCACATGCCAACTCCTTGTCAAACCACACATAGGAAAATAGTAGGCCCTTCTATCTGTAACAGTAATGGTCCATCTGGCCACAGCAAGAAAAAAGAAGTCCCTTCCTTTGTCCTCGCATGCCCCATGACTTTGAAACGGTTAATGATTTCACGTAGAGTTTGAGTCATCTAATTTTTATTTTGTGTAAAAGCACATGTAGTATTTATGTAAAAAAAAGCTCTCCAGCAGGCTTCTAATGGTGGAAACTATGGTTACTACTGCCCCATGGTGTGAATAGCTTGTCCCCAAGTAAGGTAGTGAATGTGAGGAAGATTATAGCATAATGACATTTTGCTGGGAGGTGTTTGAGGGCTGTAAGTATTAAGCTTTTCTTTTTTAATCCTAATCCACAAATGCTCTCTGCCTCTCTCCACCAAATTGTGTGTGGTGAGAAGACTTAGTTAATGTAGCTAGGCTAACAGAAAAGATCTGTCCTGATGTATAGTGTGTGCTCCTGTATTGTTAACCTAGAACAGAGACCTTTATTCGCAAGCTTAATTATAGTAAAAGGTGAACAATTTAAGAACAACTCCCCCCCTTTGAACAATTTCACACACAATATAAAATTAAATCCACACAAATGTTCTCAGAGGTGAGGGGAATTGAATTAATTCAAGCCTTGAAAGAAAAGGAGATTCATTAGACACTTGCTTTAGACTCCAGCATTGACCCGACCATGAATTACTTGCAGTTAGTTGGAAGCAGGAAAGGGGGACCTACCGGCGGAGAGACTAAGCAGTGGGGAAAGTTGTTGAGCTTTTCTTCTTTGAAAATGGAGCATTCTTATTAATAGTTCCATTGAGTGATCTTGCCATCTGTGAGGCATTAACCCAGAGACCCTCCTTCTCTTTGCAGGCTGGACAATTTGCTTAATATGGCCTATGGCGTAAAGAGGTAATTAAAACTCCACAGATTGCCAGATGTCCGTGTTGGCACAGACTGGGGCTAGAATTTTTTTTAATTCACTAACTTTACTTTTATTTTTTTAATTCTTCCTCTTTCTTCCACCAGCATGTCAAATTCTTAATTTAATTTTGGACCTCAGTTGATATTGTTTCTTTTAGGACACACAAAAATGTATTTGTGTGTTGCATTCTTTTTCTTTTTTTTCTTTTTCTGCAGGTGGGCTTTCCCTATGGTTCAGGTGCCACAGCTACTAAGCCCTGGATGATCTGTTCCTCTGGGTTGCTTCCCTCAGGGAGAAAGCACTGACTTTTTTCTGGCTGATTTTGCAAACTTTGCTGAGCAACTGTTTTGCATTACTGATGCCAAGATTCAGTTAAGAGGGCAGATTCCAGCAAATCAAAATTAGAACATTTTGCTAATCGTGGCTGACAATCTTGTGCCTTCTGCAGTGGGAAAAATTAGATTTTTGGACCACAAGCCCTGGGTAAATCATAAATTAATACATGGATTTCCCACCCCCACCTTGGTGTGCATTTTAGAGCACATCCTGAGAGTGGAATGTATCTGTGTGCACCTCAACCAGGGGTTTCTTTTGTTACAGGTTTTAACAGTTAACTCTAAGTCTTCCCTCGGTTACTTATGTGTGTGGGTTTCAAACTTGCAGTTTCTTTCATTTAAAACCTTTTTATGGGTCTGGGGATTCAAATGGGATCTAGGCTTTGGGACTTCAAATGAAGTCACCAGGCTTTCCAGGCCCAATCTGAAGCCAGAATCTTGGGAAGCTGGATATGTGATGTCACTGTGCCCATGAGATTCCCATGCGTGCTTCTGATAGGCTCCACTGCACTGCTGGGACATAGTCTTCATCATCTTGCTCAGTAGAGCTGCACATTTTAATTCCCCTTCATCCAGTTCAGGGAAAGAGATATGCTCTCTAATAGCCTGCATCACACTCTCCACTCTCTGTGACTCTTTGAATACTTGGCCATGCATGGTAAGTACCCCAACTCTGGAAAATAGCACACAGTGAAGGGAGTAAGTTGACTGCAGACTTCACTAGCAGAGTGCCAGCCTCTTGAATCTCAATCCTAACACCAGTGAGAATAACTGTGAATTATCTCCACATGTCTAACACACTGCTTGCCTGTTCCCAGGCATCTTTCATCTCTTCTAACTCTGTCCCATCCCTTTGCTGCTCTTTGACTTAGTGAGATAGCACCAAATGTCATAGGGAAAAGGTGATGCTTTTAAAATAGGTAAGGCCAGGGAAGACTCGGCTGTGGCCTGTATGCTGCCACACACTCTGGTGTCAATCCAGCCCTGCCCAACCCAATCCACTGTAGCCAGGACTACTTGATAACAGGATTCTTTTTCTATTGAACCCAGATTTAGATCCAGCCTCCTTCGTACCTTTGTGTTCCAGGTAACCATTACCAACTTGAGTGGCAGTCCCACTTAAAACCTCTTTGCTGGCTCTGACTTTGGCCTTAGAACACATACTTAGTTGTTTTCTGCATATAAACTAAAAGGGGGCACTTCACGCAGCTAAAGGAGAAGCAGTTTAGAAGACAGTCTTCAGAAATAATACAAATAGCAATTAAGTTATTGGTCCCTTTAGGGATTCGTATCATGATGCATTTTGCATCTGTCTTATGGTTAGTTTTTAAGCAAGAGGGAAGATTGACTTAGTGAACAATAGCTAAAATCATGTCTACATATTAGACATGACTACATGTTAACATATTAGACATAACTACATGTTAACACATTTTAGCAGCCATTTGATTATCTAAATTCTAGTTAAATACGGAAGTTTAATGAGACTTTTGAACCCCCAAGAGTGTTTGCTTATTTTTAAAGAGTCATTACATTTTGCCCCATACTCTTGTCTGATTTGGGCTTCCTCTTCTCCCATTCCCTCCTCTCATACACCCCACCAAATTCAGCCCCCCAAAAAGCAAGCTACTCATCAGTGAATAGCTTAAAACTCCCTGTGTAAGTTCAGCCAGAAACAGAATGTGAACCAATATCATTTTGCCATAGGCTCTAGTATCCCAATCACTTCTTCCATCATGTTACATGGATTTATTGCCAAATGTTACATGGATTTATTTTATCCAACAGTGAATAGATTCTGAAGGCTTTTGTTTTTTCCTCTCAAGATTACATAAAACCTGACATTTCTAAACCTAATATGAAAGTTTTTTCCACAAGGCAATTAGCATTTTATGTTTTTCTAATGTATAGTAATTCAAGGTTTATAAATGCACAAACCACTTGAAATTTTGTTCCACTGATGCTCCCAAATGTATTCCAGACAATATAGCATCAAGGAGTAGTATACGTCTATTATTACTGCTCCAGTTCTGAGGGAGAACCCTTATGAGTAAAAGCTAAAAGAAACATGAACCACTCATCTGGTTAACAAGAAGATATATCCTCATGCAGCTCCATCTTCAGTAATGTCAAGAGGTCTGTGACAGACATAAGTCAATCAAAAGACACTGTGATGATGGTACACTTGAGCACACTAAGGCCGTCCCCCAACATGCCTAAAAAGTAACAGAATAAAACTTTCCAAGAATTGACATCAACCAGTTGGTTGCTCCCTCAGTCAATAAACAGCTATTGTTTTCTATGGGTCACTGAGTTCTGTTATGTGCTTTGATAAATGAATAAACCCAACAACAGAATGAATGAAACGGAGTTCCTTTCCCAAGCACTCACTGTGTGTGGTGGGTAGGGTCAGGGTGGATCAATATGTTGTGGGCATATGCTGTGTAAAAACTGTGAAAAGCCTTGCTCTGGAAGCTTCTCAAGGGTTTTAGAAAATGACCTGGCCTTTTTCTTGCCATGCACATGCCTTAGCTGTCCAGCCACCCCATCGGAGAAATGCCAATGGTAGCTTTTGCATTTTGGTTTTGAACCCCTGAAGACTCTCCTGTAAAAACTCACTCAGCCCTTTGCCCTATGTCTGTGTCTGTGCATCTCTGTGTCATCCATGGTCAGACTGATGTCTGGACCAGTCCCCCCTTCTGCTTGTCCCCCCAGGTTTTCTCCAATCACCATTGATGGAATGACAAGCCTTGTGGGAATGAACATCCCTGGTCATACAGGAACAGGCTGGTGCATCTTCGTCTACAACCTGTCCCCTGATTCCGACGAGAGTGTCCTCTGGCAGCTTTTTGGCCCCTTTGGCGCAGTGAACAACGTCAAGGTCATCCGTGACTTCAACACCAACAAGTGCAAGGGATTTGGCTTTGTCACCATGACCAACTACGACGAGGCAGCCATGGCCATCGCCAGCCTCAACGGTTATCGCCTAGGAGACAGAGTGTTGCAAGTTTCCTTTAAAACCAACAAAGCCCACAAGTCCTGAATTTCTCACCCTTACTTATTAAAATATATAAATATATACGAACAAAACATGAGTGCACACACATACACAAAAGAGAGAGAAACAAAACTTTTCAAGGCTTATATTCAACCATGGACTTTATAAGCCAGTGTTGCCTAAGTATTAAAACATTGGATTATCCTGAGGTGTACCAGGAAAGGATTTTATAATGCTTAGAAAAAAAGAAAAAAAAAACAAAAAAATACCTTTGATGCATTGAATGTTCTTTCATAGCTGTCGTTGTTGAATATAATATACATAGATAGCGATGTGCGGGGATTTTTACCCAGCCAGCTAACTTTACTGCCTTCCTTGAAGGTGGGTCTTTTTAAGATGACCATTCGCTCATTTGAAGAAGAAAAACAAAAAGCAAAAAAAAAAATAATAATAATAAACAATTTTTACAGAGTAATAGGATTCAAAGAAAGAAAAAAAAAGATTTTTCTTTTTTTCAAAACGTTGATCCAATCAGATTGGTTTAAAAAAAAAACCCACACAAATTAAAGAGGAATAATAAAAATTGCAAAAATGAAAAAAAAAAACTTTTGCAAATTTTTTTATTTTTCCTTTTTTCTTTTATATCATGTGAACTGAAACAGTCTTCTGTTAGGGTGGGGAAAGGGGGTACCTGATGACATTAACAATTTAATAACATTAACATTGTTGCCAAAGAGGTGGTCTCTTTGCTGAAAATGGGTTTCAAGAAAAATCTATTTTTATAAAATATAAAGAATTTTTACAAGAGAATCTGGATTTGAGAAAAAAATATTTTGACTGGCTAATTTAGGGGAAATTGACAACTTTGTCGCGTTCATACTGCACTGGTAACTTTTTAGAGATCAAGATGTGTGTTTTAAACTGGATTCGTAGACTGTTTTTTGAAGGATGGGCTATAAACAGATGATCTTCATATCTTTTCATAGCATGTAATAATAAAATATTAATTACTAGGGGAAGGAGTGTTCGTTCTACCCAGGGTACCACAGTTCCCCACAGTCAAAACCCAAAAGCAAGGAGATGAGTTGAAAGACAGTTTTTCTTTAAGTCATCAGTATGGGATGTCAGCAGAACAAAACTTTAAAAGATTCGTTTTCCTTTTAATCTAAAACTTCCTTAGTTTGAGCAGTAGGTGCTACGAAGTTATTTACATATCTTAGTATCATAGTTAAATGTAACGTGTTTAGGAGAGGAAAACAAAAGATACATTTGCTTTAAATTCATTAAGAAATTTTCGAATTCACTTTGTAGCCCATGCTGATAATACTGGGCTGTGTTGGTATATTTGAAACACTGTTTATGTTGCTTGAAACACTTATTTATTTAACACAGGTGTGATGATGCCTAAGGCCGAGATCAAATATAGCTAGATTGGCTAGACTACTTATTTGTTTACTTAAACTATGGGAAGAAGCATATTACTGTGTCATTTGTTGTGTGTGTATGTGTATATATATAATATAAAT